GGAAAAGTGGAGAAAAAGGTCAAATATTTAGTGGCAAAAAAAAAATATTACCTGCGATGTATTCCTTAATACAATCCGGCAGGAATGGGACGATCTTGATGATGCCGTATTACTTTGATGCATTGAGAGCATGCCAAACTGGGTTAAAGCATGTATCGATGCAGAAAGAGAACACACCAAATATTAATTAAATAATAAAAAAGTAGCTGTTAGTGATTGTCTTGTAAATAAAAAAAAACTTACAATAAAAATAAAGTTAGTACATACCATAAAAATTCATTTCCGCCATTCTTTTCGCTGGGGACTGTAGATATATATTCTAAATATTATAAAATTTATTTAGTAAAATAAATGTGATCAGCTTATATATTTTTTAAATTCTTTATTTCATTTGATTTGATTGATTGTCTGATATTGATCTAAAATTTGTTTACCTGATTTGGATTTTTTAGATCAAATCAGGTCAGATTACAGGTTAATCTGGCTTAATTCAGAACTCTAATATTAATTTTAAAGCAATATTATTTAATTAATTAAATAATAATTTTAAAATATTAATATATTCTATGATGTATAATTTTATTTTCTTTATTATGAATATTTAAATAAAGTAATAGAATAAAAATTAAGAAATTTTATTAGAAATAAAATATCTTTAAATTTTATGAAAATTATGTAAAAAAATATTATAATTTTTCATTATATCTTTAATTACTACTTTTATGAATTTCATTTTATTATATAGTTTTTACAAATGTATTTTTTTATTTATTTTATTTTTAAATTATCTTAAATATACTATCATATATAAATATCTTGTATATAATTATTATTATAATTATATATTATATAATTATATAAATATTATTATTTTTTATCATTATAATTTATTCTATTCCTTTAGATATATTATGATATATTAAATAAGTTTATTTATTAATATAACCTAAAGAATTAATACATTTTAATATATATTAATTATAAAGAAATGAAGAAAAATATCTGTATATATTATATTATTTAATTATATATAATATCAGTATAAGAAGATTTTCTAACAATTGGAAAATAGAATATGAAAATTTATTAATATATGCAATTATCAATATATATAATATCAATTTATAGAGATTTGACTATATAATTAAGTAAATAGAATTTTAATAAAAATTATAATATTCTTATTTTTTAATAATTTATTTTAATTAAGTTGTATTATAAATATATATATATCAATAATAAAAATTTTTATTTAAATTAATATTAATTGTTTTAATAATAATATTTTTATTTTTTTTTTAAAAAAAAATGTTATAAAAAAAAGATAAGTCTATATAAAAATAGGATATTAATTTAATATTAATTCTGGATTTATTTTATTAAAAAATCAAATTTAACATATAAAAGTTGATTTTTTTTTTTTTGTAATTTCTTTACTCTCTATTAAATAATGTTAAATAAAGCTATTTTTTTTATATGGGAGGTTTGCTAGGAAAATGTGATTCTAAGCATTTTTTATTGCATTTTAATTTTTGATAATATTAGATTAAAATGCAATAAAATTAAAATTTTAATAAAAACTCAGAACTCCATTTTAACAAACCTTTTATATATTTAAATATGATTTATGTAATTTTAATTTGTAAGTTTTCTAATTATATCTTATAATAATATAATTATTATTATAATTTTATTTTACAAATACGACTAATTAATATTACTTCTTTTTAATTATAAAATGATTATAATCACACTCAATATAAGAATATCTTTTATTATGGTATTGGTTCATATCAAATTATTAAATGTTATAAAAAAAAAAATTGTAACGGTACAATTGTGGGGATAGAATTCTCCTTTTCAAATTACAAATTTGAGAAAAGGCTATTTTTTATATTAGGGGGTTAGGGGGAAGTCAAAACAAAATATTACTATATATGATAATTATATTAGGTAATCATGACAATGTTGACGTAGTTAAGATTTTATTTGGATCCCCATGTAGATTAAAAAGGATTTAAAAAAAAGTGGAAAAAAACAATCGATCATTTATAATAATAGATTCATTCCAGAAACTATGATTTAATAAGTCTATTAGATTACTATTTGTGGTAATCACAAGGATTTTATGGAATTCCCCTCACTAAAAAATAATTAATAAACAAAACAAACAAAATCACTGGACGAATTATCATCCCTGAAGATAATCAATAATCATTTCAAAGTTTATCAAAATTTACTCTCAACCTTGTTATTATGCATTAAACTCGGAATTAAGTATGGAAATCATCTTGTTAAGTTTATTGTTCAATACTTCTTTGAAAACCAGAGATACTGATTTATCTAGAAGACCCCCGGTTTTTTTTCTCGTGAATTTTACCCCCTCCCCAATTTCTGGGTTAATATAACCACGAACAATGTTTTGTAAACTTTCATATATTACAAATTAAAAATTCAGTGTAAAAATGTTTTAAATGCTTTAATTCATTGTAATATTTGTCGTGCAAAGTTTTAAATTAATAATTATTTGAAATTGTAGGAGAAATGATGATGTCAAAAAAAAAAAAAAAAAAAAAAGGAAAAAAAGAAAAAAAAATTTGAAAAAAAAAATTTTTGTACTATAGAAAAAAGAGTAAAAATATTCTGTACTTAAATAAATTCAATATACATATATATTATACAAAATAAAACAAATGTGGATATTGTTTAATCGACATTGGTTTTAAATAATTAAATAGTCCATATAATAAACATATTAAACAATAAATAACGAAGGCATTGCAACCCTCCATTTTAGGGAATCCACCATCTCAAAAAAAAATCCTAAAAGCAAACAAGCAAAACTAAATAAAAAAATAAAAAAAATAAAAATAATCATTGCCCGCATGATAACCAAAAAAAAAAAATTTTTTCCGATTCCCTAATGTGAAAAGTAGCTGCAAACTATTTTTTTTTTTTTGTTGAAGAAAATTTCATCTTATTTTGTATCTGAAAAACAACCTTCACAAACTCTTGACCATACACCGCCCCAATCCTCACTACCGTCGGGAAACAGTAGCATAGAATAGGCACTATGTGTATTACAAAAGATATTACCGCATCTAAATGATCAAATAAATTTTGGAATGGTCAACACTTATCAGAAATGAATGAATGATAAAAAATAAAATGGTACGTAAAAATGTATAACTACCTCCGACAATGATGCCTTCGATTCCATAAATTAAACTTGACACTACAATTAGAATGTTGACATATTGAAACCTCATCATCTTCAACCCATCTTTTTGCTAGGCCTAATAAAAAAAGAGAGAATTTAATTTAATACGTTATATTTTTCATAATGGGATGTAATACTTTAATAAACTAATGCTACATACAAAAACGAGATTGATGTCGAATTCGTTCCTCGTCCGTAAACAACGATATTGGATTTGTATATGATTGACGACGTGTCTGTGGAGGAGCCAAACAATATGCAGGTACCAATTCTTCAGCAGGCGTATAACTTGGAGAATTGTCAATCGAATAATTATTTGGTGGAGAACCCTTTTTTATGTCAACGGATACTCTATGAGCACGCTTCCTTTCATGTTTTTCACCTATTATATTACTCGCAGATAAATGTGATATAGCACTTGAATTATGTTTGTGTTTTCCAATACGTTCTTGTCGTTTTCCACTCTTTTCCAACAATAATTTATCCATCTTATCTTCCAATTCTCTTAATAATTTTTCCATTGAATCGATCATACCAGATTGACCATTGGTAACAGCCTCACAATGTCGAATCTGTTCCAAATATTCACGTTCTTTATCCTCCAAAGTTTTTTCAATTTCTTCTTTAAAGTCCAATAATAAACGAAAATCTCGTTTAGATTTCTCTAGTTCAGCTTGTAAATACTCCAACTTTTTTGCTTGTTGCACACAATTGTTCATAATGTTCTCATATTCCAATGGCCATTCACCATTGTCACCACTTATTATACCGTTATCATCTGAAAGGGGAGAAAGGGGAGAATTGTCAGTTGATGATATCACGCCCAATTCCATTGTTAATTTTTCCATCTTGGCATTTAATAATTCATTATATTCCATCAAATCATTGGCACTATTCTCCAAGGTCTTTGTCACCTCATATTTAGCCTCTTGATATTGTTGTTCCAATTGTTTTTTCTCGTCTAGCATTACCTTGTGATCTTTCTGTAATCCGGCTAAAGAACTCTTTACAACATCAATTTCCTTCCGTAGCATTGATACTTGTCTAGTCAATCGATTGCGACGCTGACCCCTTCTACATTCTCGACTATCATCGCCGGATGAAACGGATAGGGTCACATCCGATTCCGAATCAGTACAATCATCATCATCATCATTATCGAAAGCGGTACGTTTCTCTATACGTTCATTATAGAAAGCGGATAAAACTTTATTCATGCTTAGGGAACTTTTATTACTCTTATTACTCTTGGTACTACTGAAACTTGTTGTTCTCGATTCCTTTCCAGTTAATCCTTGATAGTCCCGATGACTATTTGGATTACATGGTGATAACATGTGCTGATAACTTTGATGATGCGCTTTATACTCTTGTCTTGAAGGTGGTGTCATTGGCATCCTTAGGTCAACCGAAGTGTCAAAGGATGTGTCGAAAGCTAATCTAGGAGGACGCGGTATTGTACGACTTGAGGAATGTAACTTATGATATTCGTTTGTATGAATATTATTATTGTTAGAAGTATTATCGAAATTTGCATCCCTCTTTGCAGGAGAACGAACCACCTTTACGTTTACAGTTGAGGCCAATATATTGCTCGAACTATTTGATCTTCTTCTTTGTCGCTGTAATTAATGTATTATACAAGAAAGTTCAGTTAAATATATTTTTAGGTTTTCGAAACCTGAATGTCAAGGGATTATTTGAAGTATTTATTCAATTTTTTATTATTGAGGTTTTTTTTTAAAAACTTAATAAATAAATAAATAGTAGTATATCTTTAAAAAAGAAAGGTATATAATAATGTTTTTCCTTTTGTTGTTTTTCTTTTTCCTTTTTTTTCTTCCTCACTTCAAGAAAATGTGTTTAACGAAAAAGAATAAAAAAAGATATAACCGGATAATTACATTAAATATTTATATTAAAGTTTAAAGTAATAATATAAATAATCTCAACTGTATATGTAAGGTTATTATTATACAGTATATCCTACTATATCCTTACTATATAGATTATGTATAACATAAAAAGGGGATATTGTAAGGAGAAAAAGAAGAAAAGACAGGTATTAAGGAAAAGGTGTTATATATGGTGGTATGTAAAGAATGTGTGCAGATGATGGCGGTGATAACGAATAAAAGTGCTTTTTATTTTTCCATTTTAATTTAATTTATTTTATTTTATTTTTATTGAATTTTTTTTTTTTTTTTGTAAAGGATATGCCACTATGATAATGATAATAATAAACTCAACTTACCGATGAAGGAGGTCTTTGAAGTTGAAACTTGTCGAATTTATTGTCGTTATCGTCACTTTCGTTGTTGTAGTTGTTACCCTTACTTGATGAACCCAATAATAATGGTGGTAGTGAAGGTGATATTGATAAGTTCATAATATTAAGGGTATATTATTATGAACCGATAATTGTGATATAGGGATGGATGTTATTTTTAAAGAAACTTTAAAAGGAAGGAAAGAAAGAATGCCAGAAAAGTGATGTTTTAGTTATGTGTAAAAAATTTTTTTCCCGTTTTTTTTTTTAATTTATTTTTTTTTTCGTGTACAAAAAGATTATTGTTTATTGTTATACCAAAAAAAAATTGTGTAAGAAATTTTAGCCTTATTACTCTTTTATATAATGAATGATCTTTTTTTATTAGTTTGAAGTAAAAAAAAAAAAAAAACGAGTTTTCTTGTAATCTAAAAAATCTGCAATAATATTTTATTGAAAAAGTAAAAAAGAAAAAAATGAGGAAAAAAAAAAAGAAAAAAGTTAGTTTGGCAATGCATTTTTATTATTTTATGTAATTGGGTGAGGAAGAAAAAATAATTTACAGCTTTAATTGTAATTTGTGTATATTGTGTGACTTCATATGAATCACTGTAAAAGGGGGACTAAGACCAAAGCAGGAGAGGTTAAATTCGAATCTCCACCCCCCAGAACCTTTGCTAGGCCCAGTATAATTGCGCGTACTACTCTGATTTTTTTTTTGGATTATCTTTACAACCGGGTGATAGAAAGAATCATAATAATGAGCCTCTCCTCATCATGATTAATCACCTTACCTCCAAAAAAATAAACAAAGTTCATATATCTCGCATAAACCTTCGCCTCATGGACGTCGTGGAAAATTCCCTCCATTAATGCCTGCTTGTACATATCATCTACATCGGTAAGGTCCCAGCATGACGGTATTTTCTTGTAAGTTGAAGCAAGCACCTATAAATATCTCATAGTAATTTCCCGAATACTTGAATTGGAAATTATCCGAAAAATGTTGAAATTACTTTCCTAAAAGGATTGTGGCTTTGTGGCGTGTACAATACCAAGAACCCCAATTGTGACCAATAGTTGTACTTCGGCCATTTGAAGCATTCATCATAATCAAAGTAAAAAAGATGATTATTTTAGATTCGGAATGTCGGAAAAAGACATAATCCGGAAATTGGATAATAATAATAATAATAAATTTCATTAAAACAATTAAAACCTTCCAATTGGCAAAACAAACAAAAAAAAAGACAATCCTCATGTTATTTTAAGTTATGCATACATTACGATAATAGAAAATCCATTTTCACTTTATTTCAACAATCAGCTGAACGGTTCATACACGTTTTCGTCGCACAATTACCATAATAATACGTACATGTTTTTTTTAAAAAAATCCTTGGCCCAAATTTAGAATTTATTTTGTAGAATTTTACGCATTCATTTGAATTTATAATTCTATTTCCAAGGTTCCTTCCGAGATTCTCCAAAAGAAATGTGAATGTTTTACATTTTATAAAATTTCCTAAATAATATCGTACAACAATATGTTGAAGGTCAGATGAAAACATGATAATTGTTTGTTTACCTCCCGTATATAACAATCATAAGAAAAGAATTTTTTTTGAGATATACATGTATATGATGAATCATTCCAAAAGCATGACGTCTTGATGCATTTGTGTTCAAAGCATTGTGACTGAGAATATGTTAGTTCTAGGCAAAAGAACTTTTTGCTCAGCATTTGTTGTTTGTGATTTGGGTGTAACAGAAAGTTAAATTATGAAATTAGATTATGAAAATCTAGAATCGGTTTAACGATTCAAGACTTCCGGAAGATCAAATTCGTCATTGTTGAGCTACTGCGATCAGTCAAGATGATTGTTTGCACGAAAAAGAATCAATTTAATGCTCAAAAGAAAAAAAAATATCATACGAGCATTTCACAAATGAAACTTGGCATAATAATTATCAATTGGATACATTAGATACATAACTGTTTGGTTAGGCAAGCCACAATTTGATGGAATTTGATGGCGAATGAAAATTGGGATTTTAACCATGTAAAGTCCAAATTAATTTTAATATTAAATTAAATTTTTTAATTAAATTTTTTTAAATCCCCATATTGTGAAAAAATATATATATATTTTTTTTTTCCAACCAGCATCCGGATTTTGTGTAATGTTTGTAAAGAAAAATATTTTGATTTGTAAGTCGGTTAAATACGGTAACACGGGAACTTTTTTGTCCATGATTTGCTTTTTATATAAAATTGCGAAGAATAAGATTTGGATGATTCGTAACTTCTTGGGAAGTATGTGTTCCCTTCTTTTAATAAAATGAGAATCAATGAACTTTCTTTTTTTTTCCTAGAGAATCAGTACATGTAAGACATTTATCATGATTTTTTTTTTTTAAATATTGTTTCAAACAAAGAGATTGATTTCGTTAAAAAAAATAAACTAGTATGATGATGTTTTAGGAAAAATTGGATTTATTCTTTCATGTGAGTTTTTGAAATCAAAACGGTTATTTTCTTTTTTTGAGGTCGCAAAACCAGTATTTTGAGTTTGAAATTTTTTATTACCGCAGCAACTATACTTAACGGTAAATCGTTGGCGCTTTAAAAAGAAAAACTACATTATACATCTCACTTAATAAAAGCAGTTCAGTATTAAAAAAATAATCTATAATATAATTTGATGGATGAATGAACACCAATTTGGAAAATAAACAACTTTAAAACCAATTTTGGTTACAGTCCACTAACCAGGTAAAGGTATAGTACTGACCACAATATGCAGGGACCTTACAATAATACATAAAGGTGATGAATAACGAAAAAAATTTTTTTTTTTTTTTGTCAATTCAAGTTAATCGTTTTTGAAAAGTTACATTTAGTCATTTCCAAATAAATACAATAGCAAAAAAAATTTGATTTTTAATGACGGGATATCTATCATTTGGTCAAGATTTACAATAACAATCAACGACTGTTTCGGTTTAGTAAAAATTATAGCGATTGTTTTGAAATTAATTATAATTAGTTTGGTGTAACCCATCGAGCTTCTAGCATTAATTAAAAATTGTATCAATTTGAACTAAAAGTATAAAAAAAAAAAATAAAATAAAATAAAATAAAATTATATTAATAATTGATTGATTGACGTTTTTGATAACATGCGAGCAAAAAAAGTATTTGAATATAAATAATGTGAAGTGAATATATTTATATGGTTAGTGACGTTCTTGTTGCATAAGAACCTTATTTTATACTCAAATAATCTATCCATTTATTTACGCGAATCTCGCCACAAATCTAAGCTTGGTTAAGAATCAACTCGATTTCAATTATTTTTTTTTTTTTTTTTTTTTTTTTTTGTGAAAGAAGCGATTTATGGTTAAATAAATTTGTCTAAACAATCCAGCATGTAAACTTTTTCAAACGTACTTTGTGGCTAGGCTTGATTCTGCTTAGCGGGCGCGTCATCGGCTGCCTACTGAATAGGCGGAGTACATTACATTTAAAGTTAAAGCTCCGACCAAAACAAAAGATTCCGAATAAGGTTTTCTCGTAAATTTTCGTATATGTATGTGGTTCAATTTGACAGTAACGCCAAATAATTCAAGAATTCCCATGACATTTTTTTACACATGATTATAGACCGTCGCAAAGCCTCGCATGTATCGAACTTGATTGATAAAAAACGATGGTACACGGACATGATCCAAAAAAAAAAATTTTTCTTTAAATAAAAGGCAAGGTATGACTTAATATGGCCTAACCCCCCAAAAATAAGCAAAATAAGCGTGCATGTTGCATAATGCTCCGGATTGGTAACGTAACACGAGCAATTCATTGTTTTTCTTTGATTTAGATTCTTTCATGAGTTATTTTCTCAATTTTACTGCGGTTTGCGACATTTTGTTGGACTATCAATTTGTATAATTTGTATTAAAGTGATAAAGCTAGGGGTCCCTCCCCTCCTTTATCTTTTGATCATAACCATTTTTTTTTGACCAAACAAACGGTTAAATACATGGCATGACATTACATTACATTTCCAAAGGAAGCACACCATGACAAAAAAATTAATTTTTTTCTCGATGAATCACCTTGTTGCAATGGCGTATAATCCAAGTATGGTTATTAATTTATTTAAGAGAACGAAAAAGAATTCCCTTCCAAATAAATATGTAAGGGTAAAAACCTAAAAAATTTTAATCTAAAAACGTGCGTTTTAGTTAGAGTGCGCCAACTAGCATCCATTTTTCATTATATCATACACAAATAAATGAGTTAAAAAAAAGATAAGTAAATAATAGATAATGTGTGTGATATTTAACCAATTGATTAGACTCTTTTCTTCTGAAAATCTGGAAAATAATCGGATGGTTTCAAATAAAAAATTTTTTTCCCTAAATCAGACCAAATGTTTCAAGTGAAATAGTAATGACAAAGGATTGGACAAAGGTGGCGAGCTACTTTGTATTCCCTTTAAAGGTAAAAAAATTTTTTTTATCATTTTTCATATCTGCAATGACGGGCAGTTCAAACTGTAAAGTTCATAAGGTTCATATTATACCCCTACATATACTGAAATAAGTAATGAATAATTGTCTTGGCGCAGTAATTGTTTATGTCTTTGACCATGAATAGTCACATGTTCACGCCAATCTAAGTTCTTTGGGCATAAATACGTTCAAAAGTGGTAAAATCATTTTAAAGTATAACGTAAAGATTGTGCGGTTGGGGTGATACAAAGCCAATAAATAATTTAAGATTCAGCCAGGATTATAATCGAGATGGATCACGTGCCCTTAGATTCATTTTATTTTCTTTTTTTTTTGAATCCCCCACGCGCGAAATTTCATGATTGCACCTGACAAAAACAATTACGCCGCCCGCAGCATCAAGTGTTTTCGGAAAAAAATTTTATTTTACACCACCTGAATGTCAAGTGTGTTTCTTTTTCTTTTTTCTTTTTTTTTAAAAAAAATTGGAGAAACGTCGTACTCTTTTACTCGGTGATTTCCTATCAATAATAATTTAACACCGTAAAGGAAAAGATATGCTTAACGCAGTAAGGATTGATAAACATTTAGTAAATAGTTTCCTAATCATTATTTCCGCGTTAAAAAAATGTTTGGTAGATTTTTAATTTAACGATCCATATTATTTTTATTAAACATGCCAAATAAAGAAAGTAGTAATGAACACCATAAGCTAAGATCTGTGTGGTGGGTTACAAGTTTTACGCCTTTTTCCTCCTTTGATGAAATCCAAACGTTTATTTTCATTTCTTGTGAAAATAAATATTCATTTCAATCTAAGCCCATATCAAATTGGGTAATTTTAATTTGATTTCAAGATTTTTTTTTTTAAAAAAAATTTATTATAGATAATCTTTCAAATAAATAACCTTTTCTTAGTGAATATGCACCTTCCTCCAATGACATTATTTAACCATGATTTCTTATTCTATTTGTCCTATTTTATTTTTTTTTCTTTTTTTTCGCTAAAAAAAAATGAATGAATAAGCACGCGCTCAGACAGTATTGTTTATTCGTATAATAAGCTTCGCCAATCATTATCTCCGACATGTTTTTATTGCGTTAACGCACCAATTGAATGAATATTTTTTTCATATAACCGGAAAGAATAATCATTGTTTAATTTAAATTTAGTAATACAAGGTTCAAATTCGCGTTCCTCGTGAAACGGATCGATTTATTAATTTAATAAAATTTTATACAAAAATTCCGTGTGAATGATATGATATATATTAGGCGTATAAGGATCATTACTTTCGGAGTTTTAATCAACATATACAGAATTTTCATCACTCACTCATAATAATGCATGTATGTTCGGAATTTGATGGAAAATAATCTTTCGCGTGATTCCGAATGACGCTAAATTAAATTATACTTTGATAAAAAGTTCTTTCCCCTCTGACAACGTTAGTTGAACTTCGCGTTAGATGTTGCACGGATCGTAAATATATATATAAAAAAAAAGATCGTAAACGATGCTTTTATTTTCATTATTGGCGGATTCAACTTGCATGATACTTTGATTATTATCAGGG